AAGATCTGTTCCAACCCCTTAAACATGCCTTATAACATTGTATGGTGGCGTGACAGAAGGATAATCTTGCGAACACCTCTAACTGGATCACTATACAATCATACACCCCTATGACCATTCAGTGTCCTCCATTAATATTGGCACCCATCATAAAAATGTCCAGAATCCATTTATTCATTTATCAGCCTTGGTCCACATTGTAGTGGAGCCAGAATACTGGGCACGAGGTGGGAATGCACCCTGGATTGGACACCAATCTGCCATACACCATACATTCTGTAGTGCCAGGATACTACAGCTCAAATCTTGGTTGCCTCTACCTGGAGGTTAAAACTTAAAAAAAGCCATAGCTTAATCTTTCAGTAGGATACTGACCACAAAATATTTTTCCAAATCAACTCCAAAATGGTTGAAGGCCATGATTTTAATATTTTGCAACGGTCGTCTTAGTCTCCTGTGAAATCTGTGATCTGACTTGAATGAATTATTATATAGACTATATAACATGAATAATTTTTTTTTTAAATGGTCCAAGTGTTGTCCCACATTGCTAGACATTACAGTAAGAGACTCACCAAATGTTAATTTAAGTCATCATCACATATTACTTTTTTGGAGTGCCACTCATGAAACCTGGACTTTAAGGACAAAAATGTTCTAGTTAGTATATAGAATACCTATGTGTTTAAGCTGTAATATCACACAATGCATGTGTTATTTTTTATATGTATAATATGTTTTACTCCTGTTTTATGAAGTGCCGATAATTCTGTAAAGCGCACTGTTAAATTTTCGATGCACTCATGAATAAATGCGTAAATACACTCATAAAGCTAACTTTCCTTCACACACACATCATGGTCTTAATTGCAGAAAACATGACAGCGGTAAGTTCATAATAAAAAGCCAGTTAACACTCTAACCAGCCAGGACTAATTCGCCACATGGACAGTAAGATGTCAGTTATCAATTATTTCACCTCACGTAGCACACTAATGCCTACAGCTTCGGAGACATTTCTCTATGGCTCACGATTTTATTTTAGAGTTGAATACACAGTAGATGAAGCAATAAATTGCACCATTCAATTTTCTTCTCCAATTGAACTCTAATAGGAACCAGAAAAAGAAGGATGGTGTGGGGAAAAAAATGAAGCATCTTCAGTCCCACTGTCTGGTAGTCACCAAATGATGCAAATTATCATGATGTCAAAGTTGTAAGTTGTTCAGCTGTGCTGAACTTTGTTGCACCGCCAACAACTGCCAGCGTGAGCGCACTTTCTTCAAGGCATTTGAAATCAGCCACCTGCTACTTACAGTATACGTATATATATAGCCACTGAGCAGCTAAACACACTTAAAGGAGAGTACTAACTGCACTATTCGCTATACTCAAGCTAACAAACATCTGTGATTGGCTAAAATTTTAAATAATATCCTGTGGCTGTCAGAAAATCTGTATATACGCACATACTTATCGTACTTACTATTAAAATGTTTCTTCACAGTTTATAGCTCTAGTATGCTGACCAGCTGACTAGATACTCCACACTGTATGTTTCCCCATGTTAACCTTGTTCAACCTTGAGGATGGTCTCAATGCAGGTATTTTGGCTGCGAGCCACAAAGCATTTTATCGTGAAAGCATGACTTGCCTAAAAAGTGTCTAAAACAAGTGTGACAGATGAGCATCTGCTGAGTCCAGTTGGATAATTGCCATCACTGGCTAAAAAACAAAAATGGACATTTGCTGTGCTTTCAGAGGCTTACAAAGCTACTAGTTGTGCTCTAGCTGAAAGCCCAGAACATTTAAATGGCAAGCAGGAAAAGCAGACATTAATGGGGAGGGAAGTTTATGGTGTGTTTTACATAAAACATTTAGGACATTATAAAGCATAAATACATTTAAAAAAAAAAAAAATACAAAAAGACAACGATATAAAGCATTCACAATGATTAGAAAGGGAAAAAACGCAACAGAAACAGGACTGTAGTGCGGAGCCTGGGGTTTTAATCAAAGGCTTCAGAAAGCACAAAGAACAAAGTCTGGAAACATATCAGTTTTTCTGTGAGTTGGTTCCAGCTGTGAAAAGCGTAGGCGGGGACCCTCAGCATGTTTTGTTTGAAATCTGGACACTATTAGATGACCAGTCCGTGTTGTTCTACTGGGGTTGTGTAACGACATTTAGGTCCAGTGCCCTTTATTGCTTCATGTTAAAAAGTCTATCCTGTAATGAACTGGTTGCCAGTGCAAAGCTGTGAAAATTGATCACACGGCTATATAATAGGCTTACGTTGATGTTGCCACACACACACACACACCATTTTTCATCAAGCCTCCCTACCATCCAGGTCATACATGTGTACCTATATAATTACTGATACTCTGCACAAGAAAGTGGAGGAATCAGATGCACCAAACACCTTAAGGTCACTCAATTGTCACCCAACCAATAATATCCAGCCAGTGGCAGGTCTGTGGTCAGAAATTGACACCAATAAAGGCTGAGAGAATGGTTAACAGTCTGTATGAGGAAAAGGATGAGCTATAACCTCTCACTGTATGCCTACAAGATGGACCTACTGGATAGTAGTGTCTAATAAACTTGCCGGTACATTTAGTGTGTATCTTTTACCTGGAAATGTGCATGTCACTGTAAAAGGTACAAAAGGGGTCCTTAAAATCTAGGTAAGTACCTTAAAACATACAAAGGTACAAGGTTTCTGTATTCCTGAAAAAAACTGTTTCAGAAGAACTTCAGAACCTTCAGTTGAAATCATAATGGAGGCTGTCTTTATAATCTGCAGAACCAATATAAGCGTAACAGCCATGTTCTGCAGAAGAACCGTGTCAGGTTCTCCAATATGCTTCAAAAAGCTTACCATCCGATTTCCTGATTAGTCTGCACAACAGCATATCTAAGAGAGTTTATCTACGCGTTATCGAAGTGTTTTCGTGTCAGATTGTGTACTATTTTCCTGTTCACCGCTCTCTATAGTCTATTTTTATACATATATCTTTTACTTGATTATTTTTGAAATGATCTTTGCTTTACAGAATGCATAAGACCTTTACACAGAGCTGTAAATGTGTGAGTGTGTGCTAGAGCAGATGGTGGAATCGAAACAAGAGCCTCTTTGTGCCAACTCTTGGCAGAAAGAGTGCTGCTAAACACTAACTAGTAGCACATACAGCAAAGAAGATGAGCGCTATTAACGATCACATGAAAATCTATATATGTGTGTGTGTGTGTGTGTGTGTGTTAGGAAATAGATTTTTTCCCATTTCTAAATAAGTGAATGTTTTAAAAATGAATCTAGCCTTACTCACATATAGATTCTGACACTTCTCTTCTCTTTGTGTGCGCAGATCATCGCGTACCAGCCATACGGTCGCTCTGTGGATTGGTGGGCGTATGGTGTGCTGCTGTACGAGATGCTGGCTGGACAGGTGAGACGGAATTTCCATACCACCGACATCACAAAAGAACCAGTCACCACCTTGCCGTCACTGTAGTCATGTTCGTTACAGTGGAAGCAGTGTTTGCTGGAGGTTTATTACCAGACTCCGTTTTATAACAGACTCTTATTTATTCAAAGTTTATTTCACATCTCTCACTGTATACGTTACATTCTTGCACTTTATGTATGCTGGTAATAATATCTCAAATCAATCACTAACGTTTTTAAATTAAACCGAAATGACAGATCACTACACGGTACCTCCCATAAATGAGCTGCACCAGAAACACATCCACAAGACTAATTGGCAATTATAAAACCACTGCCAGCTTATTTTAATAATGAGCTTCAGTATTATCCATGATGCCTGTGGTGAGTACAAAGCTTAATTTTTTTTTTTACCGAATTCCTTTCTAAGTTCCATCCATCCATCCATCTTCTATCGCTTACTCCTTGTTCAGGGTCACGGGGAACCTGGAACCTATCCCAGGGAGCATCGGGCACAAGGTGGGGTACACCCTGGACAGGGTGCCAGTCCATCGCAGGGCACAATCACATACACACACACACCATTCATACACTACGGACACTTTAGACACGCCAATCAGCCTACCACACATGTCTTTAGACTAAGGGAGGAAACCGGAGTACCCGGAGGAAACCCCCGCAGCACGGGGAGAACATGCAAACTCCGCACACACAGGGCCCCAGCGGGAATCGAACCTCCTGGAGGTCTAAATAAATAAATAAAATAAATAAAGGTAACTTTATTTGGGTGTAGATGAAATTGGACAGGGCTATTTTAGGTGTAGGTGATGCAAGGCAGGGTTATTTGGGTGTAGGTGAGGTTGAGTTGGTGTATTTTGGGTGTAGGTGATGTTGCGCAGGGTTATTTTCAATCATTTATTCAAGAGAAATATCAGGAGATGTAATATTCTTCTGTGGAAAAAGTAAGTAAAAGTAAGTACACCCTTGGCCTCAGAAGTATTGTAAGATAACATCTTGCAGCCATTTTGCATAATTGTCCATCAGGCTTGCTGGAATTTTTGCCCACTCTTCCACGCAATATTCTTTCAGTTGCAAGATGTTTGATGGTTTTCTTGCATGCAATCGGTTAACGACCGACGCTTAGTAGTGTCTACTCAGTGTGGCTCAAGGTCTCTTTCCAGGACCTTCAAACTAACCGCTGTGGTGGAATGAATGGAGCATGAGACAAGGCTTAAGTGCAATTCTTTGGCTCATTTATGTTTTGATCATTTCCAAAGTGTAAACCGTCTTTACAAGCCTTAACAGGAATGGAGCATAAGACGTCTTAAGTGCAACTCCTTGGGGAAGCATCTTTTTAAGCCTTTTTCAGCCTTTTCAAACCCTAACCCTAAGCCATACATGATGTAAAAGAAAACGTGTTTCATCAGACCAAGCCACCATTTTATTGCTCCACGGTCCAGTTCTGACGCTCACGTGCATTTTGTAGGAGCTTTTGGTGGTAGACAGGGGTCAGCATGGCCAGTGTAGAGGCCACTACTTTCTCGGTTTTTGTCCCTGGTTGTCTAGTGGTTAGGATTTGGTGCTCTCACCACCACTTTCCAGGTTCGATTCCCAGTCAGGGAATTGTGTTTTACTCACCTCTGGCCAAATTAACATTTAAAAAACGGTGGCTGGAGCAAGGTGCTTTCTTGCTCATCTGAATAGTTTTCTCTGCATTAGGACACAGGTTCATAGCAGGCTTCAACTTGCACAGGTAAAAAGTCCGGTGTCATATTCTCCATTCCTTGTTCTCTTGGTATACCGCTTTGCTTGTGTTTCCTCATTTGTAAGTCGCTTTGGATAAAAGCGTCTGCTAAATGAATAAATGTAAATCTTTTGTAAATATACTGCCTATTTCAAATCCCCGCCCCCACCCCAACGATATTTCAATGGGATTGAAATCAGGGCTTTGACTAGGCCATTCCATAACCCTCCATTTTTTTGTTGTTTTGTTGAGACATTCCTTGGTGGATTTGTTAAGAGTGCTTAGGATCATTATCCTGTTGAAATGTCCACTTTTGGCTCAACTTCAACTTTCAGACAGATGGCCTCACATTATCTTCAAGAACTCTTTGATTTGATGCAGAATTTAGAAACAGCTTTGTAATCTCCATCGAGTGTGTCTGATAAGTTTCATACCATGGTCTCTTGAGTCTCTATTCTGAACGTTTCTAGTTTGTCACCATGTTCCGGAATCAGAATCGTTTTGTGTCCTCGGAATGTGTTGTTTTGACCATTCCTAATCACCTCGCCTTTCGACCCTTTCTCTCTCTCGGTTCTTATTCTTCTTTGCCTCTGAATAGAATAGACGTCTTTCGTTCTTATATCGCTCGAACCTACCATTTCCCAGAATGCACCACGACCTACAAACATGGCCAAAGACTACAACTCCCAATGGAACACACAGACACTTCACCTTCTCCTGAGGACTAATCTCACACACCTGTTCCCAATCACCACACTACTTAAGAGACTGCTCATTCACAAGGTCTTCATGAAATAATACGTTCAGTTGCCATAGTTACTGTATATTACCAAGCTGTTCCATTGTTTTGTCTATTCTGGTTTTGATTCTGCTTTGCCTTTGTCGTTGTTTTCTGCCTTACCTTCTCTAGCCTGTTTGCTGATCACCTGACCACTGCCTGTCTTTGTTTATGTTTTTTGCCTTGCCTTCTGGATATTACAATCTTCATTAAAGTTCTTAACTGCAATTGCATTCGTCTCAACCTCCATTACGCGACACAGAGGACGTCAGCCAGAGCAGGGTTCAAATTTTGCATCGTTAACTATTTTTGGTGCCCATACAATGCTGGAGACCTAATCAATAGTTTTTATCGATTACTTCTATAAATGAAGAGCTAAATCTGGCTTGTGAGTTTGGCTATTTTTAGAATGAATGCTGTTCTACCTAATAACCTCCACATCACCTTTTACTGTTTGAGACATCAGTGCTCTCTCTCACACACACACACCCCCGTAATGGCTCTCTTTTCAACCACAAAGCCTTTTATTAAAATCTCAAGAAAAACGTCTGTGGAAAAAGTTTACAAGGTGTGAATGTGTGTTTTATTTTAATGGGACATGTATTGTCATAGTTACAATTAGTGATTTTACGTTCTTTTTGTTGTACTCAAGTTGTACTCTTTTTTTTATGCGAGTAATAAAACATGGCCAGTGGCTAATTTACAGGAAATGAACCAACAAAGGGGTGGTGTGATGGTAACACCGTGGAGTTGATTATTTTCATGTAAAAGCAGGTGTTTTACTCCTCTCACGCAACAGCAATTTGCAATTTCTATTATATCTTATCTTAAAATGGATTTGCATTGATGCACCAGTGTTGTGGCTGTTTCCTTTTTACTTTTCCTTTTTCTTTTTGTCCTTTTTCAGCCACCTTTTGATGGTGAAGATGAGGACGAGCTCTTCCAGTCCATCATGGAGCACAACGTGTCCTACCCTAAAGCCTTGTCCAAAGAGGCTGTGTCCATCTGCAAAGGGGTGAGTGAGCACAACTACACAAAAAACAACAGAAAACCTGGCAGCTCAGCATATATCAGATTCTCTGCGTTGGGTTCTTTCTGTGTTGTCAGCAGGACCAGAATTAAATGCATGCAATATAAGGAGATTATTACACGGGTATCACAGTGATGAATTTTTCTAACTCAGCCGTGCTAAGTCCGAACATTTCTGCAGATTGCAGTTAAATATCAGTTCGATCAATACATTTTATCGCTCATGCTGTCAGCATGGAGCCGTCCCGTCTATCCGTACGGGTTTTTTTTTTTTGTTGTAGTTCTCTCTGCCTGCTAGGATTTTCTTCTGAGTAATGTTGTCACCTCCGTATTAGTGCCAAGAACGTCTAAGTTGTGAGTTGTCAGGTAAACATTCAGGAGGTGAGGGCTTCAGTATGACAAGCTGAACGACTCAGGGCTTAGAGTGTTAAAAAAAACCTTGGTTCTCTACACCTCCTTCATCACACCCTTCATTTTCCTCCTCTCAGAAGAACCCTCTCTCGCCACAACAGACATCAGCATCTTAAGGTAGATAGATAGCGATCCGCTCATCCAGCACTGCAAGCCAGCAGTGACCTAAAAACCACCATCACTGACGCTTGCAAAGGATAGTATAGTTTAAGCACAGCTTCTCTGATTAAAAAAGGACAGTTGTGAGTGAGGTGTAGGACACTTTGTACTTGGGACAGAAAGCATAATAATTAAACACATTCAACAAACCTTATAACTAAAACTTTCACTAAAATTAGTATTTCATCCTCTGGAAGCAACATTGGAGTCAGTGGCTTCAAGTCACAACAATAGTCACAACCCTCTGTTACTAAGCTAATGATTTATGATCTAAGGGGCTCACAATTCATTATGAAAACTCATAATACATTAATGATTATTGATATGATGATATCAAATAGATGGATCTCTACCTGTTAACATCCCAAGAATGCCAAGGCTAGCTAATAAAACGGTAGAAAACTACTTTTAACAACTGGTAAAGATACCCTGTAATGACATGTATTATATTACAGTACATAATGTTGTAAGAGTATCAATCGAAAACTATCGACAAATTTAAAAAAATGAATGACACATGAAGAGTGTCCCTGCGCAAGAGATTCAGTAACATGCTCGAACTTTTGGCACGGCTTTACCGCCATGAGCATGCCCGCGCATGCCCGTGGACCCCCTAGCGGGTCAGAGGTCCACCCACCATAATCTCTCAAAATCCTGCGGGGAAACACTACACAAGAACAAGCAATAATACACATGAGTTGATATTGTAGAGCTTTCAGGAAAGTCTTCGGGACAGAGGGCTTTTGCTTTGCAGTTTCTAATAGAATTATTATTTTTTTATTATATTTCTATAATTTAAGCGAGAGAACGATGGTGAGGGAATGACTGTTTACAGCTGTTGTAGCATAAGTGATAACAAGAACTCATTTCTTGTGTTGATGGAAAGAGTATGACGTGTTATTTAATACTTGAAAAAGTGGTATAACGTTAAACTGCTTCGGGACATGCTGTTATCGGAAAAGAGTCCATTTTGGGGTGGTACCAATAACTCCGCTTCACACCACCCCCTCGATGATTATTTTTCTATAGCAGCGTGCCCCTGTCATTTTAATTTTTTTTATTCCTCACTTATCTGATGGTTCATGTTCGGTAAAATTACACTCAGAGAGAGAGAGAGAGAGATCTCTTTTTTTTTTTTTTTTTTTACTTTTTTTGTTTGTACTTTAATATCCCCCCCTGTCTTCTCATTGTTCTCCTCTCTCTTTCATTCTGTCACACTCTACTTACTGAGATGTCATAAGGTCCATCTGTATTCATTCATTTGGATTTATTAAGCCTGAGCATGTGAGCGTGTGTGCTCATGCTGTATGACTCTTCTGAGTCCAGTTCCATTAATGGAGACATAGTGGCTGTCAGAAGCCTGACCCAGAAAAACACGGCCTTGTGTGAGCCGTTGGAGAAAGTGCAGGAGAACTCGAGTCATTGATTTTGCTGCAGATGTGGATTCATAGTGATGTTGAGTCATGTCTATCAGAATGGTGTATTTTTTCAATACCACTTAAAAAAAAAAAGTTCATACAGGCTGTTTACAGAGATGTGGGTCTACCAGAGGCTCTAAAGGATGTTTGTGGGGTTAACAAAAAGCATAGGATGGACTGACTTCAAAGATATAAGACTTACTGTCTTGTGTGTGTGTGTGTGTGTGTGTGTGTGTGTGTGTGTGTGTGAGTAACTAATAATTTAGCCAGGGTAGTAAGTAATAAATTAGTAGCTTAGTGTATATTCAAATCAATTCAACTATTGTTTAAGAACATATTTCCATGTGGCACCTGAAACATCTGAACACAATTAGAATTTCATTTTCACTTCCATTTGTCTCAGTGTTCCCCAGAGGCTTTTCCTTTCCGACACTTGTGTCTAGAGATGCCTCTTAAATATCTTTAACAGTTTTAAAGCCACACTTTATCATCTAACGTAGTCTGTAAAGGTACAGAAGATATAGCTTCTAGGCTACCACACCAGTGACAAAAGTTCAAAGGTTCTTTGGATAACTAAAGCTACAGTACGTTTCAACAGGTTCTACATGAAAGGAACATCTTCTGCTGTAGAGTTCTCCCAGATGCACAAACTGAAGTAACCTTCTAGAGTTCTAAATTTAACCATGGTTTCTGAGAGTGCAGTCCGAAAACATTTTGTCAAAACACAACCTGAGCCAGACCACCAACAATGAAAGACCAGACTCTCTAATCATCTCACAATTAATATTACTCACATCTACAAAGGTTATCCAAAGTTACATTTTTAACTTGGAAGAAATTAATGGCAAAATGAATGTCTATAGAAACAACTCGCACAGGAGCTTGTCTACTAGATGCTCGATGTAAACAGATTTAAAACATTAGCCACTGAATTCAGTGTTGAATTTTTCTGTGGGGAGACTTTTATTTATCTGTTTGGAAGGAGTCTCCAGCGTCAGCATGTATAAGTAGTCAAAAGTAAAGCTGTTTCTCGAGGACGGAGGGCTTTGCGGTTACTCTGTAATGTGACAGGCAGCATTTTTAA